GGCGCTCCCGCCCCCGCGCCCCCCCCCATCTTCCCTTCCCGAGTGTCTCTCGTGTTTTACAGCGGAGGCATGGTTTCCCGTTACCGCCGGGAAGACGGGGTGCGAGCCCGGAAGCTCTTTCCCCACCACCACTTGTTGAAAGTCTGATTTGAAAGCGGTCCGGGTTTGAACGACGGAAAGTGCGGAGATTTTAGGCGCCCCCAATTTTGCGCTGGAGACCCTTCACTACTAATTATCAAGAAAAAACTGGAAACTAATCCGGTAAACATTTAAACTTAAAAAGTTATAAATTTTATTTTTATTTTTGACCTAGTACATTAGTGCTGTTTCTCATTTGTTTGCTAATTCCTGTTCTTTTTAACTTCCCTGTTTGAAATATCTTTATCATCTCTTGAAAGCACTTTTGTTCTTAGGGTATGTCAGCCGGCGAATCCTCTATAGTAACACTAAGAAACTGTTTCAAAGTTACAAAAAGTTCAAAATACGGGCTTTTTACCTGAGCACAACTGATTGAACCTTTTATACCACAAAGAATTACGTATTTGTTTGGAAGTTTGGAATCCAGATATTTAAAGATAAATCATTTTTCATGGAGAAAGTAAGATGGAAACACTCCTGAGCACAGTGATTTCATGATTACCATAGAGCTCATAATCATAGTGGGACTGATTTGTTAGAGGAGTAGGAAATACCATTACTTAAAGACACGTGTAATGATAATTCGTCAAGTGGCAGCCAGGAATATCAGTCTTCTCTGCCATTGCAAACCTGTAGATTAACATATCTGACAAAGTGAGAGCTGTACACTTTCTTTATTTATTTATTTATTTATTTTTTTTGTCTTTTTGAGGCAGGGTCTCGCTATGCAGCTCAGGCTGGCCTTGAGCTCACTTTGTAGCCCAGGCTGGTCTCAAACTTGCAACGATCCTCCTGCCTCAGCCTCCTGAGTGCTAGGATTACAGGTGTGCGCCACCACACCCGGCGTGTACACTTTCTTTAAAAAAAATAGAATTTAATCCTATTAAGACCTGGACTTGATCATATTTTGCAGAATTTGTGTGAAGTCTTAAGTCCTCTGATTTGGGTCCACAGTTCCCTACTTTTGACAGTTTAAAGTTCTTTTGAGAGAAATTTCATGTTACCCAGATACTGATTATTTACTATTGATTAGTGCAATGGAATACTACTGTTTCTGTTTATACTTGTAAAGCGTAATTCTTCACAATACACTTAGGAATCCTTTAAACTATTTATAAAGAACAGAATTCCTTTTGAATCGTGTCAAATTCATTTTAACATCTTAAAATCTTAGTAATTGTAAGACTTTAGTTGAAAGACAGGCCCTAGGAAAACATTAAGGTTTACTAGTCATTTGTCACCAGCTAAAGTGTTTAGTGTCTCAGGTTTTCAGTGAGGATAATGTTAATGATTTTTGACATTTACTCCATTGATTGTAAGTTTGCTATTAGGATAGATTGAGAGCTTATTAAGCTGCTTGTAAATTAAATAAATATTGGGACAAGTAGTGAAGGTGCTCTGTAATTTGTTTACTTCATTTATTATTTTTTTATTTTTATTCTTTTATTTGTGTGTGTGTGTTGCTAGGAATAGTACTTAGGGCTTTCTGTGTGCTCAGCAAGTACTCCACCGCTGAGTTGTATACCTAGCCCTTAATTTACTTTTTCCATCAGCAAAGTTTGATTGAGCATCTGGTATATACTGGACATTATATTAAAGTCTTGATTTTTTCTAACTTACTAGTTAATAAGTAAAATAGATATTACTAAATGTAATCATTCATCTGTATTGGAAAAAAGAAACCAAGTATTGTAGAAAGAGCCCTTTGCAATCTTGATTATCATGATGTGGAAAACTTAAGTAGCCATGCATTAAAAAATAAATTAATTTCAACTATATATATTAATTATGTTCTTTCTTGGTTACTTGTCTTTCTCAAAATAATTTGAGAAATTATATCCACATTCATAAATTAAAATGCCAGATTAGTGGCCCACATGTTAGAACAAACTACATAGTTGAACTCCTAAAGTCAGTTTCTCTAGAACTGAAGTTCTTTCACTTGCCCCCCCCAAAAGCTCTTTAAAAGGTGAGTACATATCTAATTGGATTAGCCATATAGTTAATACTCTTGAGTGTTGAATTTTTTTCTTTTTATTCTCTTTTTATTGACTACAGATTAAGAGGTTTCATTTTGGCAGGCGGATTTATACATGCACATGGCATGCTTTGATCGTTTTCACCCCCCAGCACTGCCATGTTTAATTTTTGACACAAGGTCACACTAAGTTGCCCAGGCTAGGTTTCATCTTAAGAACCCTCTACCTTAGCCTCCCATAGTGTTAGGGTTACACCTAACATGCACCACCACACTCAACAGATAAGTTAAATTTAATGAATATACAATCATCTGATTTTTTTTGAAGTCTTTAATCTTAACATGTTAAACTCTTTTATGCACTGCTTCAAGAATGAACTGTTGTTATAATACTTACCTTTGTTTCTCTTGTGTTGGAAGAACCTTACTCAAAGTCAGAATGGAACGATTTGTAGTAACAGCACCACCTGCTCGAAACCGTTCTAAGACTGCTTTGTATGTGACTCCCCTGGATCGAGTCACTGAGTTTGGAGGTGAGCTTCATGAAGATGGAGGAAAACTCTTCTGCACTTCTTGCAATGTGGTTCTGAATCACGTTCGCAAGTCTGCTATTAGTGACCATCTCAAGTCAAAGACTCATACCAAGAGGAAGGCAGAATTTGAAGAGCAGAATGTGAGAAAGAAGCAGAGGCCCTTAACTGCATCTCTTCAGTGCAACAGTACTGCGCAAACAGAGAAGGTCAGTGTTATCCAGGACTTTGTGAAAATGTGCCTGGAAGCCAACATCCCCCTTGAGAAGGCTGATCACCCAGCAGTCCGCGCTTTCCTGACTCGCCATGTGAAGAATGGAGGCGCCATACCTAAGTCAGACCAACTGAGGAGAGCTTATCTGCCCGACGGATATGAGAATGAGAATCAGCTCCTCAACTCACAGGATTGTTGACAAGGAGGTTACCATCGTTGTGATCAAGATAAATAATGTGGAGTATTAAAGTTATGTGTTGATTGTGTGGTTCATTTTTATATTTATTTTGTTTAAAATCATGTGATGCAGAGTAGTTTTGCATTGTGTATATAGTTGCAGGCAAAAAAACAAAAAATCCTCACTGCAGAACTTGTTAATTTTAGTCACCAGTGGTTTAAGTAAAACTTAGGTATAGAGTATGCTAGGATACCTAAAACCTGATGGTTATCTTTAAAATTGGTGGCTTTTCTCCTGGGATGTTTGTGCATGGAAAAAATTCCATGCCTTTTTTAACCCTGTTGCCATGTATGATTATTCCTTGTGAGCTACTTAATTACCTGGATTGAAGACCAGTCTAGAAAATTGAAGCTGCTGCCAGGCAACACCACTCAGAATAACTTAAAGGAATTCTTCTGATTAGAGGATCCTCTTCAAAATGGAAGAGGTAGTGACAAACTGTTATTATATCTTGAGATCCCTAGCAGAAATGACTGTTTTTTTTCAAAGTATGTTTTGTTTGTATTTGAAATAGTTGCCTAACTTATTCTTCAGTTCCTATCTTTTCTTTTTTAAAGTCTTTCCTGTTTTATTTAGTAGCAGCTTTAAGTGACCAAAAGACTAAAATCTTTCTTTTAATGTTAGTGCCAAAAGCCACAGGGAATTTTGTGATGACAAAATTTGAGTTTCTTACTATGTATACAGAGTTTTGAAACATTGCTTTCATTTTAAGCATTTTCTTGAATATGCAATTTTTTAAATGTCTGTGTCGCTTCCAGACTGACAAGTTAAACAGACATTTTATGGTTGAGTTTCCTCTTTTTATAGAGAATTAGTTACTTTTTGGCTGACAGATCAAATAAGGAAAGGTATTTCTATACATTAATTTTTCCGTAAGATGTTATAAGAGTTTAGATAAATAGAAACTGCTTTCCTTTTACTTTTACCTGCTTTGTTTCTGGCAAGACTTACAATGGAGATCCAGCAGTACTCTGTATATTGTTTGGCTGAGAAAATAATCAGTTCTGTTAAAGCTCAGCCATGTTCAGAAAATTATCTCTATCTGAACCTCAGTGTCGTGTAAGTTATCAAAGTAGTTTAGCCCAGGTAGGTGCTCTCCACAAGAAACCTAGGATATATTTAAGAAATTTAACAGCTAAAAACTTGGCTAAGATCTTTTAATAAGAAAATTAAATTATTTGAAAACATTCAAGTAAAAAATAGTTATATTTCTGTTACAGAGAGTGCTAAGTGATACCCTGTGTGACTTAGAGTTATCTTTAAGGTCTTTTTAACACAAATCTTTATTTAAAAACCAAAGTAAATAAAAATAATGCAATTCATACAACTTTCCTCAAGTGTCTTACAGACTTAAGTTCCTAATTCAAGTCAGAATGACCACCTGATTTTAGATTTTCTTACCATTTAAAAGCCTGCTACCAAAAAAAAGTCAGTTGTCAAAATTTAAACTTCCAATTTTTTTCATGTGTGGTTGTGTTATAGTAGCACAGTAAGTGCCCAGAGTGGCACTGTCATTAGTAAGCACATACATGAGGAGACCAGGAAAACAACCAAAGTGTGTTTTGCTTTTCCCTAGGAAAGAATTTGCAGGCAACCATGTTTAAATTTAATTACCTAAGATGTTAGAAGATCCAAGAAGCTAGGAAAATAATTGGGTTTTATAGGTCTATTTTCAGAATACAAAAATAAGGTTAGATACATAATCTAGTTTTTTTCAAATTCATGATTCAGACTGTTCCCTATTTGGGTAGTAATGTGCACTACCAGTAAACATGTTATGATAACAGCTTTTTAGTAGACCAGTAAAGAAAAACAAAAATTCACATATGTGTTTCTGGTAGTTACTAATGATTTGATGATTTTTTAGGTCGTATATATATTAAATGTGTTTTTCCAGGCTCCTGTTTATTTCCACATTTACTTTATCTGGGGTTATAGTCCATTTTGTTAGGATTCTATCATGTCCTAAGGAGAGTTTTCCATCCTGTTGGGTTAATACTATTTCTGTACTGATTATGAAATGTTGCTTTCCTGAAACTGATTCATTTTGTCTCATAAATAAGACAGTGATTCTTTTAGCCTGTGCAAACTAGTATAAATCCCTGAAACCATGATTGGCGTATGTTAGATAACAAATGGGAATATCTAAGAGGCATATACTGCTTTGGAGGTAGAGTGGACAGGTGTATAGAAGCTTTCAGTCTTAATAGTGTTAGTGTGATGCTATATTATTGGAAAAATAGCTTTTTTTTCTATTTCATAAGTTGTATGAATAAACAAAGAGTTGTAATGTTTCGTTTATAAACTTCTTTCAACACATGCTTATCTATTAGTAGTGTTTCTCAAAGTATGGTAGTATGTCTTCCAGAATTTCACTATATGCTTACAGTTAATAGTTCTAGCTTGTTGAAATGTTGAATTTCCTGTTGGTTTCTTTTTGATTATATGGATGCATATAGCAAGCCTGAAGGATGTAATCATTTTTTTAAAGGGTGAAATTTTAGATTTTGTATGAGAACCTACACAAGTTTTTTTGTCCATTATCAGGTTACGATTTTTGTTCTTGTTTTTTAACAAATACTACTTCCAGTTAATGTATTTGGCCTTACCAAATTTTCAGGGACCAGAAAACTTTAAAATTCTGCATTTTACTATTGTAGCCAATTAAGTATTAGTTGTAATTGTTCTGAAATATTAATTCCTTAAACACTGCTCTAAGTATAGTTGGCAATATCTCCAAGCTGAAAGCTCCATGTCGCCTAAAAGAATTTGTTATGTGAATGTTAATAGAAACATATAAACAAATTAAATTTAAGGTGGCCCAAAACAAAAGTTGCAGTTTCTCATTTGATGCTTAGTCTTTGTAAGAGTTCTTCATGTTTGACTTATCCCAACTGACATTAAATGCTGACATCACATTTTTCATTTATTTACCTGGAAGATTAGTTCTATAATTTTACTGAAAATCTTTGCCTAAAATAATTGCTTTAGCTTCTGGTCAGCACTGATTAAAATGTGAATAGTGAAGTGTCTATCATAAATCTTGGTTTATCTCACCCACACTATCATAGATTTCTGAGGTAAATACAGTTGTTACCTAGTTGTGTTCTACTTGTATCCAGAATACTGTATTAATTAAAAATTTACTATGTTCATTTTTGTATTCCTGTGTTTATTTTTTTGCTCATACATGTAACAGTATAAATATGTTACTTTTAAAGTTTTTATCTCTGACTCAGAAATAAATTTCAAAAATTTGTTTCAGAAGTTTTTAAAAGCACATTTTCTTTCCTAATAACAAATATATTTAATAATTGCAAAAAATCAGAAGAATTTTACTGACTTTTCTACCAGTTACAGCTCCCTTTTGTAGTACACCCTTCTGCCCAAAGTAAAAGCATATATTCTGTCAAACCACATTTACGTCGTAGCTACAGATGTCACTGTTCCCAAAATAATATAGGTAATATTAAGCTTAATCTGTGCTTTTAGTTGGGGACATTTTATTTCTCTTTCTAGAAAAAAAGGGCTTCATTTGTATTTCAAGTTTTACTTGGTTTTTGAAAAATCTGTATTCTCACTTGCTATTTGGAACCAAAAATGCATAGAAATAAATTGCTCTTTAATTATGTACTTAATTTGGGCAAATACCTTGTCAGTACTTCTATTTGGTAAAAAAGTAATGTTGTCTTTCCTGAAATCAGAAAAGTGGAAAAGACTTTAAATCAGTCAGTACTACTGCTACCAGTTTAATACTACCAAACATGAGAGATTTGTCTTTTCCTAAATATCACAATCCTTAATAAATGTAAATCAATGGACTGTATGGGTCTCTTAAAAATAAAAGTGTTTATTTTCCTATGTGTAAGTTGAGTTGTATTGTGTACTTGCATATGTCATGCAAGGGTGCAAAGATCAGACTAACCTAGCACTATGAACTAAGAAGCTAAAACGAGAAGAGGTGATGTGTGATGTGCGTGATGTGTGGTGTGACTTGCATTTCATTACTCCTCCAGTATGTTAACTTGAATTTCTTTCATATTCATGCTGTTTAGAGTGAATTTTTCTTAGCAGGACTCTTGCTTAAATTTTGGAATTAGAATTTAAAAGCTTGTGTCCTTAGGTTCTTGGTAAAATAGCCAATCAACTAGTGTTTGTTAAATCTCATCCATGTGTAACACTACTGTAGCCATTGGGGACACATCAGAGAAAATTCCTTGCCCTCCACATACTCTAGTCATGAGTCCATAATACAAAACCCTTTGAGGTGGTTTGTATACTGTAGACAACTGGAAACATTCCTTGTGAGAGTATTTGTGAGCTGTATGGGTCAGCTTTCCAATTGCTAGGATAAAATACTTGCAACTTAGGTTTATTTGGCTCATGATTTCAAAAGTTTTCAGTCTCATGGGCTGAATCCAGAGCAGAAACGATGCTGCAAAGGCACAGTGGAGCAGAGCTGCTCACTACGTGGCAGCCAGGGAACATAGCACAGAGAAGAACTCCAGCAAGTCGCCCTTCGGGGACCCACCTGCTCCACCTAGGCTCCACCTCTTGACAGCACATAGAATTTGAACATCAGTGGGTGAACATCATCCACTGATGAGATTGTTACTACTATGACCCAATCACCTCTTCAGCTGCCTAGGTCCAGTCAAGTTGCCAAGATTAATGGGCACATTGACCAAATAGTTACCTCTAGATTCCCAGAGTTTATGTACTAAGAAGAGTAATAAAAGGTTAAAATTTGCCATTATTTAAAAAGTATATCCTCTGAAAACGGGTAATTTGCAAAAATGCCAACTCTATATAATCCACAAAAATGCCAACGTCTATTAAGCAATTGGATTTGCCAGTTTAAAAGCTTGTGCGAACCTGCCACACACACATTAATGACTTGCTCACAGTAAGTGAAAATATAGTGAATATTCAGTATCAAGATAGTCACCGGTGTACCTAATCATACATTAACTAAAGATTTATGCCCTCTCCAAACTGGAGGAGAACCGAATCAAATTTTCCCATAAGGTCAACAATGAACCTAACCATTGAATTTGATTTAGTTCTTCGCCAATTCAGTGTGAGACCAGAATTGTGGAAAGAATTTAAGTTTGTGAACCAAGATAGATATCTCAGATTATAGGTGCTCCAAACTTGTTAACCATGGAAGAAATGTGTATTGGATGCCTTTGCTTTTATATCCCTTTTTCCTCTACCTTTTTCTTTGTACCAAGCTCATACAGTACCTATTCAACAATAGGTAGTGTATTCTTTTTAGTCTACCAAATATTTTTATATCTTACAAAAATAAAATGTCAAATTTGTAACAACACGTATTATATCTTAGTGTAATATCTTAATGTAGTAAACACTTGAAATACTCTAAATGTCCAGCAGTTGGGCAGTAGTTAAAAAGTGACACATCCATATTATGAGCTATGCAAAATGTTTAAAGGAATAGACCAGAAGATTCATCTACAGTAATTGCAAAGTTAAAAATTACAGTATATTTTCTCTTAAAAAAAATAGAACAGGAGGGGAAAAATGGAGTAGTGAGTTACAAATCAATATTTCCAATTCAGTTTCCACACTGGAAAAGAACTTGAAAAATATAAAACACACACACACACACACAGCAATAACAACTTGGAGAAGAAACAAGGAGAGAAGTAGTTCCCTGTTAGCCAAAAAGGATCTGACAAAAAAAAAAAAAATACCGGAGAGTCAGAACATATGGAGAAAGGAAGGGACCCTCTGCATTTGCTCTGTACACCATGTGGAGGAAAGCAGCCTGCTGGGGCTGCTGTGACAGAGTGAAAGGAAAGATTCCTTGTGGAGAAACAGGGCAGAGAAAAAGAGGGACCAGCAACTGCTGTGATCTGCAAGGAGAGCTGGTGAGTGACCGCAGTACAAGCACCCACCATTCCAAGGGAGAGAGTGCTTGCTGGGATGCCTTTCTGGGGAAGTGCTGAATGTTGGAACCCAGGACCCAGAGCAGACCCTTGGCACCACTCCAGGACTCCAGAGAAAGACCACCACAGTAGACAGTGGTCAGCCAGCAGGCTGGAAAGAGACACCCTATGGGGTTACGGCTGAACACAGACCCGGCTTCTGCAGCCAGAGGCCAGGCTCAGCCAGAGCGGCATGGGATCTGAAGAGCATGGCTCTGGGGAACATCCTACTGTTTGCTGAGGCCATTGTCCAGCACAGATCTGGGGCCTGACTGCCTCCTTTATCTACGATGTGAGTAGAGGGACATCTGGACTTGGACCCTACCACACAGTTATAGATTCTGGAGGAAAACCACATATTGAAAATAAGAGAGATCTATATTTTTTTTTTATTTTGCCTTTTTCTCTCTTCTTTCCATTTTACTTTTATGAGTGTGTGTGTGTGTGTGTGTGTGTGTGTGTGTGTGTTCTCTTCCCCTTTCCTTTTTCTTCACTACATTATAGAAGATAGGGGGGAATTCTCTCATCCTTTCTCCTTGCTTCTTTTTATTTCTTACCTATTTTTCTAGTTTTTTTTCCCAGGACTTTTTTTCTTTCTGTATTTTTCTTTTCTTTCCTCTTCACCCATTTAATTTGTCTCCCTTTAATTTTTTTCATATTTTTGTTCATGATATAATTTCTTCTCCATGTTGCATCATCTTATTTCTTATCAGGTTTTTCTGTTCACTCTACCTAATTATATAAACATCCTTCCACCCCTGTTTGGACACTTCCCCCTTCTTCTTTCTCCTCCTCATATCTTATGGTTTAAGGTCTCAACTTTTTTCTTACAGCTCCCTGTCCCCAATTCCTTATATCTTTAAGAGTATAGTCATAACACTTTACTGGTATTTTTACAGTTGATACTATAAAATTACAGTTGAAAAAAAATACAATAATAATGAAAGAATTGCTCACTACATGTATAGAAGAAATATATAAAAAAAGATGAATATAGGCAATGGACAGAAATGTTAATGAACAATATAGGAATGAACTAGAATGCACAAAATAGACTCAAAGAAGCATCCAGGAAATCAAAACTTCCACTGAAAGCTGGCAAAACTGCTTGAATAAAGCCAAAGATAGAATTTCAGGTCTTGAAGACAGCATGGCAGCTAGTGATCATGAAAGAAAGGGGATCTCTTAAAATCAACAAAGAACCAGGAAAAATCAATTCAACAGCTGCAAGGTAAGGCAAAGAGGAATAATATGCAACTAATAGGAGTCAATGAAACAGCAGGAGGCAACACAAATGACATAAAAACAATATTTCCAGAAAAAATAACAGAAAATTTCCCAAACATGGAAACAGAATCTGATATACAGGTAAGTGAGGCATAGTGAACTGCAACTAGTCATAACCAAAATAAAACTACACCCAGACATATAATAATCAAGATCTCAGATCTCCAGCAAAAGAACAGAATATTAAAAGCTGCTAGAGAAAAGAAACAGATCACCTATAAAGGAAAGCCCATCAGAATCAAGGCAGACTTCTCAACACAGACCACCCAATCTAGAAGAGCTTGTAGTGAACTATTACAGGTCCCAAGACAAAACAGCTTCCAACCAAGATTAACATATCCCACCAAACTATCCCTCAAATTTAACAGAGAAAAAAAAACCATTTCCACAATAAAGAACAGTGGAAGAACTTCATGAGTGCCAAATCATTGTTACAAAGAGTACTAAAAGATATTCTAGACAGAGAAAAAAATGACCACAATTTCAAGAACAACAATAGAAAGGAACCCTTAAGCAAAGCAAGCAATTAAACAGGTAGAAAAAAGTAGGA